AATATTATCCCAGTTTCTGTAGGTCAGGAGATAGGGTGCAGCTTAGGTGGACTAAGCTGCAGGGTCTCTTACACACTTCAAAGTGTAGGCCAGGAATGCAGTCTTCTGAAAGCTCGGCAGGGGAAGGATCTGCTTCCACACTCACTTACATGGTGGATGATTCAGATCCTTGCTGGCTGTTGGCTGGAGGCTGCCCTTGGTTCCTAACCACATGCGTCTCTTCACAGGTCAGTTCACAGCATGGAAATAAGCTTAACTTCATCAGAGTAAGCAAGAGAAAGGGAAGAAAAGAGAAAGGGAGAGGCACTACTAGACATTGCAATCTTCTGTAACTTAATCTTGGAGTTAGCGTCCCACTAGTAACTTTACTTTGGATTGGTATCCCCTCATTTTTGCCAGTTCTGTTTATTAGAAGCAAGTCTGAAGGTGTAGTACATACTCAAGGGAGGTTCCAGTGATCTTTCAAGCTGCCTATTACAGATATTTAACATGTTTTCTCATGTAGCATCTAGTTCATCTCAACACCCAGAGCTAAAGACCCAGACCAGATGCTTGCAAGTCAAGCAGATGATGAGAAGGATGGAAGAAATTAGTGGTGGTAGGTTTGGTGAAAGGCCAAGCCTCTGCCCATCCTACAGACTGCTGCCAACCAGGAATGCTTACTATCAGATCCTCTTTTTTTTTTTTTTTGTACTGAGATTGAACCCAGGGACATTTTATCACTGAGCTACATACCCAACCCTTTTTATTTTTTGAAACAAGGTCTCACTTAGTTGCAGAAGCTGGACTCAAACTTGCGATCCCCCTGCCTCAGCCTCCCAAATTGCTGGGATTACAGGCATGCACCACTGTGCCTAGCTTCATCTAACTTTTTGAAAAACATGGAATTGCAGATTTTTATGAGACATTTCCTGACATTTAAAATTGATAATCAAGCAAAAACACATTTGAGGATTAAGAGTTTATTACTCTTTCCTAGGCAGAAAGGGCCTAATCCATTTTTCTTACTCCCTTTAAGTACAAACTCTATTTCTCCTTTTCTCCACCCCAGCCAGCACTCTTGCACACTGGGGGCAGGGTCTAGCTAACTTACTTTGGACATTTTGCCATAGCATCCTGCATGTAGCAGGCCAATAACAAATATTGTTAAACAAAATGTGAAACTGCAGACATATTTCCCACTAGGGACCATTGCCCTCAATCCTAAGGTAGTGGTTAAAGTGGCTTCTGGTGTCTAAATTGGAATCCCAGCTCTGCTACCTGCTTGCTGCATGACTTAGGCAAGTTACTAACCCTTGATTCTCAGCTTCTTTATCTGTAAAATGAGAATACTCACACCTACCTCACACAGCTGTGGTTAAGATTAATTGGAATTATGTACTTAAGGACTTAGCACAGAGCTTA